ATTGATTTATTGTGAAGTAATTGATCTGATGTGTTCTCTTTTCCGTCAATCTGGTGTTTCTCTTTCGGGTTGATTTGTGTCATTTCCCTTCAATCGATCTGGTGTTTCCCTTTCCGATCAATCTGGTGTTTCCCTTTCCGATCGATCTGATGTTTTTCCCTCTTATTATATGACCTATTCGGATCTGCTGCTATCTCAGCCGATGTGGATGTTTTCCCTTTCCAGTCGAGCTGGTGTTTTTTCCCTCTTATTATTTGACCTATTCGGATCTGTTTGCAGACTATTGCCTTTACTATCCTCTATATAATAAAATATACCTTCAGTCCATTTGTTTGGAGTGGAAAGTTTCTTTTACGTCTCCGATCAAATCCCCAAACCTCTCATAACAGTGTCTTCACACAATGGAACACTATACAGCAACGAAAACAAGGCATCCACAACGGCATGCAACAACTTAATCTCACGTGACGGTGAGTGAGCAAAAGACACAAAGGTGCAAACTTTATTATTCCACTTATATAAAATGCAAAGACAGACAAGACTAATCTTCTCTGTTAGACGTTAGGACAGTGGTTATACTTGGGGGTGATGGTGAATGAAAGGGGGCCCGAGGAGGGGCTTCTGGGATGCTGATCACGTTGTTTCCTGATCTGGGTGGTGGTGACATGACTGCATTCACCCTGTGAAAATTCATCGAGCTATTCATGTAGGATAAATGTACTTTTCTGTATGTATGGTTATATTTCAATAGATTTTTTTTTAAATAGCTTTTAATTCCAGTACTGACAGTAGTAGGGGTTTTTTTTCGGGGGAGAGGGTAATTAAACTTTCTCTTTTTCTCTGCTTATTCTAGAAAACGATTCTGGTCAGACCTATGCTGCTGGTGCTTGCTTTTTTGGTGTGTTTTTGTATCATTTCCCTCACTGCTATTATATGCATCCTTGTCTTGATAAAACATCTTCAAAACATCTGTATTATCAGTTCTGCTGGAATCTAAATTATTCAAATTGATGGAGATAACAGTTTCATTTAGGGTCAGGCTGACAGCCTGTCCTGTCCTGCTGCTCCTGCCAGTCTCCATCAGCACCCTCGGCCATGCAGCCCCAAGGGGCCTCATCAGTGACTGTATTTCAAGGGCAGGCGCCAGCCCAGCAGTGTGATGAAGGAGGTGCTCCTACAGAGGTTGAGCGGCGAGAACAGTTCCATCCCCAACTCGCGGCATGACTGAGCTTTCATGATCTGAAAACTTTCAGATCCTTTCCCTACGGCCTTAAACTCCAGCCACCTACTCACTGTGTGCGCACACACGCATGCACACACACACACACTGGTTGCCTCGTGAACCTCGGTGAGGCCTTCCCTATTATCCCCATGTTAAGGCACACATTTTGTACTGCTCTTGCTCACTTGCATATCCATCTCCTCATTCACGCATTCATTTACTCATTCAATAAATTTACTTACTGAGCACCTCCTTTGTGCCAGATGCTGTTGTTAGGTGAGAGCAATCAGCAGTGAGCAGGACAGACCCTCTCCTTGGAGAGTTCAGTCTAGGGAGGGAGGCATATGTCAATTAACCACACATATTCCTTTAGTTACAACTGTGAAGGAAACCCACAGGGCGATTTGAGAGGTACTAAGCAGAAGGACCTAACTGGATTGTGAGGAGAGGAGCAGTCAGGGAAGGACTCCCTGTGGAGGTGAAAAGTAGGTTGAGGCCAGAAAGATGAATGGAAATTCCCCAGGTGAAGGACAACATTCCAGATAGAAGGAAGAGCATGTGGGAAGGCTCTCAGGCAGGGGGGAGCTTGGTGCTTTGAGGGACAAAGAGACCAGTGTGGCTGGATCCAGCTTAGTGAGTGAAGAGGTAGGAGCCACACCGTGCTCCTTTTGGGCCATTTTAAGGAGTGAGATTTATCCCAAGAGCAGTGTGAAGTGGAGGAGGAGGGGAGTGGTGTGCTGAGCAGATTTTTCTCGAAAAGCTTGCTCTGCCTGGCTTCAGTGCTATTAAACCCGAGTTTCTCAACCATGGCACTACTGACACTTTGGGCCAGTAATTCTTTGTTGTAGGGGGCTGTCCTGTGCATTGTAGGATGTTTGGCAGCATCCCTGGCCTCGCACTACTAGCCATCACTGGCACCTCCTCTCTCCCCAGTTGCGGAAACCAAAGATGTCTCCAGACATTGCCAAATGTCCCCTGGGTGGCAAAATCGCTCCTGACAAAGAATGTACCAGACCATTTATTTGGTTCAGCCCACTTAGTTTTCTCTGATGATGGTTTGCCATCTTCCCTCCCTCCGCTCCTAGATACCCATGTATGACGTGCACAGGCACAAACACATGTGCATGCTGTCGTGACTGTGACACCCTTACAGGCCATACTTGCCTCTGGCTCCCCAAACACCCACCAACGTTCTGCACAGGCAGAGGCTTGATATTCGCTTCTCCAGAATATAACACCAGGGAGGCGTAAATGGTTAACATTTCACCCTGTTCTTTCCAACAACTTAGAAAATCTACTCCCTGTTCAATCTGGTTCTCATCACCATTCCTGCTAACAGCAGCTACCTGGCATGTTAAGCACTTAAACTGTTAGTTGCTATTAGCAGGCATGGGAGTTGCACAACCTTTTCTCATCCGTAAAATGGGAGAATATCTGGTGGAGTTGATCCTTTACAGACATCATTCAATCCTTACAAACCAGAAGTAGTCAGCAATGATTCTGGATGAGTCTCTTAAGAGATAAAGTTTCCTCAACTAGTTCAGTGATGGAGCTGCGATTCAACCCGAGGCCTGAGTGCAAGGCCCAGGACTTTAACTCTTAAGTCACCCTGCCTCCCTTCCAAGGCCTTGAGGGGTCATCCTACTCCTCCAAGGTAGAATTCTGGAACTAGAAGGGAACCGGCATTTATCTAGCAGCTGACCATCTCTGTCCCAGCTCTGCCTGACTTCTCCCAGGAAGCCCTGCCCCTCCCCACCATCTTGGGTCCCTGTCTTATTTTAGCTTTATCCAGCATATAACGCTTGTCTGCTGGCAAGGGATAAACACCCAAACTTTAACCCTGCTCACTCTCCCTTCCTCTCCTCCTTTTCCTCTAGTCAGGCCCTGAACCAAGTGCTTTAGTCCATCATTACATTTCACCCTCAGGTGAATTTCACCCTCAGATCTCCCTCAGGGAGATCCCCCTGGCCCCACGTTGCAGATGATGATGAGGCTTACAGCTGGTGAATGGTGAAGAGCAAGATTGGAATCCAGACTATTCAGTTGTGTCACACTTCAGACTCCCAACTCTTGACCACGCTGCTGCCACCTGCTTCTCAGCTGGGCCATCAAGGGACAGGCAGTATCACCAGAGCTGACTGCGGATCTTGCAAAAGCTGACGTCTTATATTGCACCTCTGGTAGATAAATATAAATCCTAAACATCTCAAATCTCCCATTCCTCCCTTCAGGAAGCACCGATCTAGTCCTTCATATGAGGAAACGGAACCAGAAACTATGCCCATCTGCCAGGCTCAAAAGAAACCCCTTATACAACGGCCAACCATCCTGGTGTCCATGTCATTTTCCCTCTCACTTCTAATCTTACCTATCACCTACTCAAGCTCTGTAGAGAAAGCTCACCTTGCCATTAGTGTGACCCTGGCCTTGTCACCTCCCTGGACCCAGTGAATATGTCACAACCTACCTTGAATAGTGAGACTCAGATATTTTTTTTTTTTGGTGAGGAAGATCAGCCCTGAGCTAACATCCATGCCAATCCTCCTTTTCCCCCTTTTTCTCCCCAAAGCCCAATAGTTATGTCACAGTTGTATATCCTGCTAGTTGCTGTATGTGGGATGCCGCCTCAGCATGGCTGGACAAGCGGTGCATCGGTGCGCACCCGGGATCTGAACCCAGGCTGCCGGTAGCAGAGCATGCGCACTTAACCGCTAAGCCAAGGGGCCGGACCCTCAGGTATTTCTAATACTCCAAAATGGTTAGAAATTTCCCTGTCACACGACTGCCAGTTAACTGTATCAAGTCCCGCTGCTTTGGACTTGACTAACACTTTTAGCATGTTATCATTTACCAACTGCTATCCACATAGTGGCAGCTGTCTTTGAATGTGAAGGCAACACTGATGCAATTAGAGAAAATATTTGAAATCTAGGGGCTCGTAAAGGAAGTTGAGATGTGTTCCAAAGATCTGTTGGCAGCTCCAGGTTGCTGGGTTGGTTGGTATTCTGCAGCCCACTCTCAAACTTCTGGTAAGCACAGGGGTCCTTTTGAAGGACTGCAGTCATCTGAGCTTCCTAATGTGGTTGCAGGTAGGAACTCTTAATGTGCAACCCCCTCCACCACTTGCTGCACACTATACACAGCACCAACATCTCCTGCCACTTGCCTTTTCAGCTATGTCCAGCACAGGCTCCCTACAAGCTGGGTAGGGAGTTAACCCCAAACTTGATTCCCCTTTCCCTTGCTGCTGCAGTTTCACACCAATTCCACAAGTAATTAGGGCACTTTTATTTCCTCCCACCTTTTTCAGACATTTGCTATGGCTTGCGTATTAGCCTTTTATTAGCCTAACATACCATATTTGTCTATCAACCGATTAATCCCAAGTATCTAGAACAGTGCCAAGTACATAAATGCCCAGTAAATTCAAATTTATTAAGTGTAAAATATTCTTTTAATTTCTTTCAACCATTTAAAAATGCAGAAATTTAGTTCACAGGCACAACAGTTTGCCAATCCCCGGTTCAGATTCCTACTCTTATTGAAAACCGACATCACAGAAGAGCATATAAAGATGCTATTTAAGAATGTGCTACCCTCAGGTACAAGGGTGACACAGACGCACTTCCCACAACATAAGGTGTAAGAGCCACTAGCCACACTCCAGATGCTGGGTAGCCAGAAAACATTTCTATCATTGCAGAAAGTTCTATTGGACAATGCCGTGTGAGATCTGGCAGGAGGGGGAATTCCATACTTCACAAACCAGAATACAACAGCAGTTCAAACAAAAGGTCTCACATATTTATTACTGAACCAACCTACTAGTTCAGACGCATAGAAACAAAGAGTAAGAGCAATTCCCGTATAAGACACATCCAACTGTCCAGATAGTGGCGTTTCAGAGTGATATGCTAAGATGCAAGTGACCTGGAGACAGCATAAATATGTGTCAGCTCAGCTGCGATTCCTTACAGACCCAGCTTGGTTCTTCTCCAATGTCTCCGCTTGGAGTTGTACCTACACAGAAGGAAACTGCAAGTTACAAAGGCAGTCTGACCTCAACTTAGCTGCTCACACTCACCACAAATTTTGCCTTTTAAGTACCATAAAATCCTTGAAAGGCAAAGGGTCCCGTTTCTCCTTCCTTTAACAAGTTTGGAGCTCTTTTTGGAGAGTAAAAAATGATTTGCTAGATGTATTTAAGAACTAGTCAAATCAATTTTTTACCTCTCAAAACGATTCCAGAAAACACACTGGTTCTTAACTGGGCAAGGAGTAGTAGGGACGCGCTCTCTCTCCAAGCCAAGGCTACACGCACAGCACCCACTTTTGACCAACAGACCTGGGGTAGATCCAGAGACACGTATTTGCACCCTTCCTTCTAAACATCAAAAACAGTCATTTCTACATAATGAGTCACACATAAAATCCCCTCCATAATTTTTACAATAGATTAACACCCCCATTTCAATACCAAGGCAAATGATTTGCAGAGCTAAGGCCATCTCAGAATTGTCCATGTCAATCTGTCGTGATTTTACCCTCATAAAGGCAAAATCAAAAATGATCAACACAAGATTTTCTTTCAGCAGGATAATGTCAGTACTTCCACAAAATGAAGCACTGTAATTGCAACCTGCTTTCAATACATTTTAAATGTTGGAAGACAACTGAAGCAATAGCAAAATTATTCTATTGTGCCAATTCTCTGGGCCAAGAGTGTATAATCCTAAATACAAAATACCTTCCCAACTCTAGGAGACCACAGAGCAAGAGACTAATACTGATAACTGCAAGTACCCTCTATTGAGCTAGACACTGAGGTTTATATAAATCAGAGTTCTATGCTAGCTTCATTATTCTGGGCTCCTGAGCTTTAAAGTCTTTATCTTGCAAGAGGGACCCCACTTGCTAGGCCCATTCTACAGCGTCAGCTTAAAAATGCTTTGAAAATAAGAATTTTTGTAATAATATTTGCTATGTCCTCCTCTGTGGTCTTCTGGGCTCAATTATTTGGGAGAACCAGGAAATCTAATACTTCATTTTAAATAAACCAAAGTTCTGAAAGCTGTTAACACACAAGGGCTGTCAGCCCTTGGGCAAATCTGATTTTTGTTTCGGGTGAGGAAGATTAGCCCTGAGCTAACATCTGTGCCAACCTTCCTCTACTTTATACGTGTGATGCCTGCCACCGCATGGCTTGACAAGTGGTGCGTGTGTCTGCGCCCGGGATCTGAACCTGCGAACCCCAGGCTGCTGAAGCAGAGTGCGCGAACTTAACCATTATGCCACCTGGCCAGCCCCTGCAAATCTGATTTTTGATGCTTATTTTTCTTCCCTTCAAGACCCGTCTGGTCTCCAAAGAGCAGTGGGGCTGAATGCCAGGCAGGAGACCTGACTTTTAGGTCTAGTCTTGCCTGGAGTTGGCCTTGATGACCTTGGAGGTCCTTTGTAGCAATTCTGGTAATGTCTTTCTTCCAAAACCATCAATTCAACTACTACTGCAGTAGAGAGTAATCGTCCAACCTTTAGAAAAGACAAACACTTCAAAAATGGATTGGGTGAGGGGTCGGTCCTGTGGTGTAGGGGTTAAGGGCGCGTGCTCTGCTGCTGGGGGCCCGGGTTCGGATCCCCGGCATGCACTGGTGCACCGCTTGTCAGGCCACGCTGTGGCGGCGTCCCATATAAAGTGGAGGAAGATGGGCACGGATGTTAGCCCAGGGCCAGTCTTCGTCAGCAAAGAGAGGAGGGTTGGCATCAGATGTTAGCTCAGGGCTGATCTTCCTCTCACACACACAAAAAATGGATTGGGTGAGCAACATGGTCTTGCCCACTGGAATGTGTAATGAGACAGCCTTCCACCTTATGTTCTAGCTCAGATGTGAGACAACCAGGAAATTAACAAATATCAGAGGAGTGTCTGTCCCTAAGCCCAGCTGTGGGCTGGGTACTGTCCAGAAAGCCAGAGAAAACACATTAAAAAAAAAAGAAAGAATTTCAGAATAATGGCACAGAATGAATCGAAATGCATATAACTTTCAATTGTATATTTATGCCCAAAAAGTAATCTTAAATTAAAAAAAAAACAAAAACAACAAGGGGTTGTGGGGTCCTTACCTGATTTTATTACCAGTTTTCATTCGAATCCATTGGGGAATGGGACGATTCTGCTTTTGTTTCTTGGCCAGGAATCGCTTGATCCTAAAAGTCTTGTGAGAAGACTGGGAAGGAAATGCAATCAATTTAGACAGCAATACCAGAGCTTGCTGGTAATTCAAAGTCAAGAACTTCATCAATGCAACAAACATTTGATTGTTCAATACATACCAAAAACAATCCTCTCTATGCTAAACCCATCCCGCCCTTTGCTTTGGTCCTCACAATTTCTCTGGAGGCAAATACCATAATTCTCATTGTTCAAATACACATCAGTAGAGTCAGGGACGTAAGTAAACCTGCCCCAAATCAGAGTTTTACTGTGCAGAGCTGGGATTCAAATTCAGGTCCTCTCTGCTCCAAGGCTAGGGTGCCTTCCAGTCTTCCCTGCTCACCCTAGGACTCGGGACACCACATCCGAGATGGCTAGGACTTGGAAACTTGGTTTTCACGAAAGAACACAGCTCTTGGTCAACCAGAACCTATCGCTTGCAAGTCAATGAGTTTCAGTGCACTACTTTGTAAAGCAAGGGTACCTACTTTCAAGGGTCATTGAGAGTAAGACACAAAGTCCCCGTCATTCGGTAGATCCATTCTAACCCACTGACCATTTTGGTATTAACCCTAACTCTATTTAAAATGTCACTTTTTCAAGGATGACTTTCCCAATTTCCAGTTGCATTTCTGGTTTTCATCAACTTGGGTCATCTAAGCCCAACCCCAACCACTCTCCTCCCCCGTTTGCAGGACAATCCGGAGAAATGGCAAGAGTGCTGGTCTAACGTCTGGTTAATTTGGCCCAACACACCTTGCATAATGATAGGGGCCGTTATAAAGAAGGCAAAGACAACACTCCTCTCTCCCAGCTCACAGTCGTAAATTTTATGTCAACTAATAAACCTTTAAAACACCACATACTGATTCTCTCCATAAACAATTTTAATTTCTCAGGGAACTATCACGGGAAAAACCCACGACACTGACTGTCCGCGGCTGGCGTTTTACGGAGAACGCCCTTTCGGCATATAAATTCACAAAACCGCTTCTTCCAGGCCCTTCCACGGGGTGCCGCTCAAGTCCCTGAAAAAAGGGCTAAAAAGTGCCTAAGTTCACAGCGTGGTATGTTCCTGGACACCAAGGTAAAAAATTTCCGACACCCAGCAGCCCACGTTTCTTTGTCGATACCCAGCACGCCCCGCGTGTTGCTGGTAGCCCGCAGTCGGGCCACGACTCCTGGGGTGTCCCCTCCCCGACTTTTCTCCCTGCCCTAGAATTACAGCTCGCTCCGGGAGAAGGGCGAAGCGAAGCGGGAATCCCTTCCCTCCTGGGCGGCGCCAGGTGCAGAGGGCGCCCCCTCGGCCCTCGCGGCGCCACCGCGGCTCGCTCCTTCCCAGAAGCCTGTTTGCTCGCTAGCTTCCCACCAGGCCCGCGGCCTGGAGCGGTCGCCAAACTCGACCTTTTCTGGAAAAAACCTTAAAAAGGCTCCCGCACTTCGACGCAGCCCCCGGCGCCGGCGAGCTCACGGAGACCCCAAGTCTCGCGAAGCCACCCCGGAGCGGATGGTAACGGATAGACTCACCATAGCGAGGACCACAGTCAACCGCACGCACCACGATCGCGGAGAAAAAGGAAGAAGCGGGCGGAAGGACGTAGTTAGAAGGCGCTCCGGAGGCGGGGTTTGGGAGTGACGTCACGCGCCGACCACAACCTCCTGTCGGCCCCACCCCCGCGCGCGCTTCCGAGAGGCCGTGGGAAACCGCGCTCGCTCGTGCAAAATGGAATTCGCTTTGCTTCACTTCCGTGAGTGGGTGCCTCAGGGGCCCGTCAGTGTGCCAGGGGCAACCTGTTTCGTGGGTGAGGCAGACAGCCCGTGATAGATGCCAAAGCAAAAACCCTTCCGAAAGCACAGGAAGCACAGTGGGCGGGGCTTACGCCAAGGGAGCGCGAGGGAGACGTCACGTCCGAGCGCAAGGGACTTCGGTCCTGGGTCTGGGAGGGAGCGCGCCGAGGGGCGGGGCTTGCCCCGCCCCGCCGCGGTGGCCTGGCGGGACAACTTCCTGGCCTTTTCTTGACTGCGGGTAGTAGTTTCCACCTGGCTGGGTGGTGCGGGACGGGAAATCACAGTGATGTTGGAGGAAGCAGGAGAGGTCAGTGGGGGCTGGACTAGATGGGCCCTGTAAGTCTAGGGACGGCCATGGAGCGTTAGGCTGGGCAAGAGGTTGCCAGTCAAGGTTTAAGCTGAGTTCAGTACAGAACCTTTTCCTTGGCTCCTAGGAAGCCCAGACTGACTGTACTGACTGTAACCACTTTGGCAAAATGTACAGGAATTAATGGCATACTTTTTGGATGTTAATGATCCCCATTTTCATCTTTTTCTTCTCCCCTTTTAAAAACAAAATCCTCTGTATCTTTGCAGTCACCTCAAGCATTTTTGCACCAATAGATTAAGGTAAGGGTTTTTAACCTGGGGTCCCCAAAGAGTCCATGTATAGACTGCAAAATGAACTTGGATAAAAAAATCACAAATTCGGTAGCCTCTATGGAAAACGGTATGGAGATTCCTCAAAGAATTAAAAATAGAGATGCCCTATGATCCAGCTATCCCACTACTGGTAATCTATCCAATGAACATGAAATCAACAATCCAAAGAGGCTTATGCACCCCTATGTTCAATGCAGCATTATTCACTATAGCCAAGAAGTGGAAGCAACCTAAGTGTCCCTCGACTGACGATTGGATCAAGAAAATGTGGTATATATATAAAGTGGAATAGTACTCAGCCATAAAAAAAGACAAAATCGTCCCATTTGCAACAACATGCATGGGCCTGGAGGGTATTATGTTAAGTGAAGTAAGCCAGAAAGAGAAAGACAAACACTGTATGATTTCACTCATATGTGGAATATAAACCAACACATGGACAGAGAAAACTGTATTGTAGTTACCAGGGGCAATGGGGGTGGGGGGTGGGCACAAGGGGTGAAGGGAGACATATATATGGTGATGGACAAACAAAAATGTACAACCCAAAATTTCACAACGTTAAAAACTATTAAAGCATCAATAAAAAAAATCACAAATTCGTGGGGCCGGCAGGGTGGCGTAGTGGTTGGGTTCGGGGGCTCCCGTTCAGCGGCCCAGGGTTTGGATCCTGGGTGAGGACCTATACACCGTTCATCAGGCAGTGCTGTGGCAGCACCCCATAGACAAAGTAGAGGAAGATGGGCACTGATGTTAGCTCAGGGACAATCTTCCACACACACACACATACAAAAAATCACAAATTCGTTTTCATCGAACTCTGACTGAAACTTAGTGCTTTCTTTATTTTTAAATGTATGCAACAAACTACGGTACCTGTGACTTAGTCACCAATAGAAATCAAAGATGCTTTCATATCACATTACAGTTGATGGAGATGTCTCAAAATATCTAATGTTTATACACTCATCACTTTTTTTTCCCTCCCAAAGCCCCACTATATAGTTGTATATTCTAGTTTTAAGTCCTTCTAGTTCTTCTATGTGAGCTGCCACCACAGCATAGCTACTGACAGACAAGTGGTGTGGTTCCCTGGCGAGGAGCTGAACTGGGCCGCCAAAAGGGGCACATCGAACTTTAACCACTAGGCCGTCAGGGCTGGCTCACTCATCATTTCTTTGAAATTACAGTAGTTATTACTTCCACAAGTAGATCTGTGTTAAGAAGCCCATATGTTACTATAGCACACGTTTCTTTTAGAAAATATTTTGATAACTATATTGTAATATAATTGGTTTTCTTTGTAATCCTATGTACTTTGTTTTATGCGTTTAAAAACATTCTGAAAATAAGTTCATAAACTTCGTCAGATTGCCAAAGGGTTCCAGGCACAAAAATGGTTACGAATCCCTGGATTGGAGTACAGTGACAGATGGTAGAACAAACAAACTAGGTAGGAGGCTTTGGAAATAGTCTGGGCAAGAAATGATGGTGGCCCAAAGTAAGGTAGTCCCCATGACATTGAATAAGAAGAAATAAAATCAAGAGATGATTATGACATAAAATTAACAGGACTTGGTCCCAGGTTTCTGCTTTGGGCAACTGGATGCTGGTGCCTTAGGTCTAGAGAGGGAATACAGAAGCCATAGGAAGCTTGAGCCCAATTTAGTAATTACCATTTTTTAACAGCAAAAGTTTTATTACATTAATCTTATCCAGTTTTTAAATTCAGACCCTCATCCAGATAATTTTACATATAACTGAAGTGAGACTTCAGGCTTCTTAATTTGGATTTTTATTATTTATTTAAGAACCAGTATTTTCTTTTATTTATTTAAAAAAATTTGGGGGGCCAGCCCCATGGTGTAGCGGTTAGGTGCTTGTGCTCCGCTGCTGGTGGCCTGGGTTCAGATCCTGGGCGCGCACCAATGCACCTCTTGTCAGGCCATGCTGTGGCGTTATCCCATATAACGTGGAAGAAGATAGGCACAGATGTTAGCTCAGGGCCAGTCTTCCTCAGCAGAAAGAGGAGGATTGGCATGGATGTTAGCTCAGGGCTGTCCTTCCTCAGAAACACACAAAGACACTAAATAAATTAATTAATTAAAAAAATTTTATTGAGGTATAATTTGACATATAACATTATATAGTTTCAGGTGTACAACATAATGATTTGATATTTGTATATATTGCAAAATGATCACCACAATAAGTCTAGTTAACATAAGTCTAGTTAACATCCGTCACCATACATAGTTACAAATTTTTTTTTCTTGTGATGAGGACTTTTAAGATCTACTCTCTTAGCAACTTTCAAATATGCAATACAATGTTATTAACTATAGTCACCATGCTGTACATTACATCCCCACGACTTAAGTATTTTATAACTGGAAGTTTGTACCTTTTGACCCATTTCTCCCACCGCCAACCCTCTGGCAGCCACCAATCTGTTTTCTATGAGCTTGTTTTTTTGTTGTGGTAGTGGTTTTAAATTCCACATATAAGTGAGATCATTTGGTATTTGTCTTTCTGTGTCTGACTTACTTCACTTAGCATAACGCCCTCAAGGTCCATTCATATTGTTGCAAATGGCAAGATTTCATTCTTTTTTTTATGGCTGAAAAATATTCTGTTGTATATGTATACCACATCTACATTATCCATTCATCCATCGATGGACCCTTAGGTTGTTTCCATATCTTGGCTATTGAAAATAATGCTTCAGTGCACATGGGGGTACACATATTTTTTCGAGTTACTGTTTTCATTTTCTTCAGATAAATACCCAGAAGTGGAATTGCTGGATCATATGGTATTTTTAATTTTTTGAGGAACCTTCATACTGTTTTCCATAGTGACTGACCAATTTACATTCTCACCAGCAGTGCACAAGGGTTCCCTTTTCTCCACATCCTTGCCAACATTTGTTATTTCTTGTCTTTTTGATAATAGCCATTCTGACAGGTGTGAGGAAGTATCTCACTGTGTTTTTTTTTTAATTTATCATCTTATTTATTTACTTTTTTTGAAGAAGATTGGCCCTGAGCTAACATCTGTTGCCAATCTACCTCTTTTTCTTTTTTTTCCCCAAAGCCCCAGTACATAGTTGTATATCCTAGTTATAGGTCCTTCTAGTTCTTCTATGTGGGATGCCACCTCAGCATGGCGTGATGAGCGGTGAATAGGTCTGCGCCCAGGATCTGAACCGGCGAACCCCAGGCTGCCAAAGCAGAACACACAAACCCAACCGCTACGCCATGGGGCCAGCCCCCTCTCACTGTGGTTTTGATTTGCATTTCCCTGATGATTAGTGATATTGCACATCTTTTCATGTACCTGTTGGCTATCTGTATGTCTTTTTAAAATGACTTTTAAAAAAAATTTTATTTATTTATTTTTTCCCCCAAAGCCCCAGTAGATAGTTGTATGTCATACATGCACCTCCTTCTAGTTGCTGTATGTGGGACGTGGCCTCAGCATGGCCAGAGAAGCGGTGCGTCGGTGCGCACCTGGGATCCGAACCCGGGCCGCCAGCAGCGGAGTGTGCGCACTTAACCGCTAAGCCATGCGGCCGGCCCAACTATCTGTATGTCTTCTTTGGAAAAATGTTTGTTCAGATCCTCTGCCTGTTTTTTTTTTTTTTTTTTTTTTGCTGAGGAAGATTCACCCTGAGCTAACATCTGCTGCCAATCTTCCTCTTTTTGTATGTGAGCTGCCGCCACAGCATGGCCGCTGACAGACAAGTGGTGTAGGTCCATGCCCAGGATCTGAACCCAGGCAGCCAAAGCAGAGCACACCAAACTTAACCACTAGGCCACCGGGGCTGACCCTGTCTGCCCATTTTTTAATTGGATTGGTTTTTGCTATTGAGTTGTATGAGTTCTTTATGTATTTTGGATATTAACCCCATATCAAGTAGGTTCCTTTTTCATTTTGTTGATGAAACCAGTATTTTCTTTTGGTGACCAGAAGGAGCAGCAAATAAGCCTTTAGTTGATAAATTATCATCATCATCTTCCTCATAGCCACCATCTACCTCAAGTTTAGGGTGTGAGTGACACTGTGCTAAGAGCTTATATAAATCATCCTTTTAATTCTTACAGTTTTATAGGGCGCTTATTATTGTTGTTCTTCCTGGCTTTCCTTCTGCCTCGCATGCCACCCCTTCTCAGTTTCTTTTGCTGATTCTTCGTTAACTCACTTACTTTTAACATTGGGGGGCCCTGAGGCTCAGTCTTGGACCTTGTCTCTTTTCTATGTACACTCACTTCTTTGGTGATCTCATCCAGTATCATGGCTTTAAATACTCTCTTGGTTGACGACACCCAAATGTATCTCCAGCCTGGACCTCTCCTCGAACTTCCGCTACCTTCTCAACATCTCCCCTTGGATGTCTAATAGACTGCTTAAACTTAATATGTCTCAAACCGAACTCCTGATGTTTTCACCCCCAACTGGGTCACTCAGAGTCCTCCCCATATCAGCAAATGGCACCTCCATTCTCCCTGTTCTTAGGCCAAAATTTATCTTCCACTCTTCTCTTTCTCTCACAACCCACATCTGGTTTGTCAGCAAATCCAGTCAGCTTGCCTTTGAAATTTATCCAGAATCTCAGGATTTCTCATCACCTCTACCCTGGTCCAAGCCACCCTCTCTCCCCTAAATTGTTTGAAGGCTCCTCACTGGTTCTCTCCCTGCTTCTGCTCTGGCTGCCCTGGAGCAGCCAGAGTGGTCCTTTCAGGACCTAAGTCAGATCATGGCACTTTTCTGCTCAGAACCCGCCAATTGTTCCTCATCCATCTCCTAATAAAAGTTCAGGTATTTGCAGTGGCCTAAAAGGCCTGAACCAGTTGGACTCCATTATTTCTCTGATCCAACCTCCTGCTACTCTCCCCCTCGCTCACTTTGCTGAAGCCACACTGACCTCTTTGCTCTTCCTCAGGCACGCCAGACTGTTCTCTCCACAGCCTGAGTACTAGGTGTTCTCTGCCGGGACTCCATTCCCCCAGGTATCCCATGGCTGGTTTCCGCACCTCCTGCCAGTCCAGGCTCAAGTGTTGCCACTTTAGAGAGACCACCCCCTGAACACTCTATATCACCCTCCCCTGCTTTGTTTGTCTTGATAACACTTATCACCTTCTAACATGCCTTATCCTTTATTTGTTTATTGTCTAATTCCCCACTGGAATTAAGCTCAATGAGGGCAGAGATATTTTTTAACTTTTTATTTTGAAATAATTATAGATTCACGAGAAATCACAAAGAAATGCACAGAGAGGTCCTGTGCACCCTTCACCCAACCTTCCCCAGCATTAATGTCATACATAACAACTGTACAATATTAAAACCTGGAAATTGACATTGGAACAATCCAAAGAGCTTACTCAGATTTCACCAGTTATACATGCACTCATTGGTGTGTGTGTGTGTGTGTGTGTATGTGTGTATGTGGTTCTATATAGTTTTATCACATGTGTAACTTTGTGGAACTCCCACCACAATATAATTTTATTTATTTATTTATTTTTCCCCCAAATCCCCAGTAGATAGTTGTATGTCATAGCTGCACATCCTTCTAGTTGCTGTATGTGGGACACGGCCTCAGCGTGGCCGGAGAAGCGGTGCGTCAGTGCGCGCCCGGGATCCGAACCCCGGGCCACCAGCAGCAGAGCGCGTGCACTTAACCGCTAAGCCACAGGGCCGGCCCCCCCACCACAATAAAATACAGAACTGTACCCCCAGCTCCAAGACCTGAGCCTGATACATAATAGGTCTTGGTATCTGTTGAACTGAAAAGGCACTAGAGTGTAGTGACAGCACAGACTCTGAAGCCGGGACTACCTGGGTTTGAGTACCAGCTGTGCAACATACTAGCTGTGTGACCTTGGGTACATAACTTAGCTCATCTGTGCCTCAGTTCCTTCTTCTGTAAAATGGGGATAAGTAATAATACTTAACTCAGTGCTATGGTGAGGATTCCAAGTCACTGGTAAGACATGCCAAGCACATAGTAAGGCATGAGTTAATATATACCCAGAACGTAATAGCCATCAAGGTCAGTAAACAGCAGCGATTATTACTTGCATTCCCTTGTATTGTAACAGGGTAGATATTGCTAGGAACTATAAGAAAGGTACAAATAACCTATTACAAGAATGTTGAGGGGGTGCTGATTGCCTGCTAAGGGGAGGAGGTGGCATTTGGATTCAGCCTTACAAGGTGAGTGGTGGTGTTATGGGCTGAATTGTGTTCCCCCCAAATTCACATGTTGAAGCCCTAACCTCCAGTACCTCAGAATGTGACTTTATTTGGAAGTAGGGCATTTACAGAGGCGATTAAGTTAAAATGAGGCTTGCAAGTGTGGGCCCTCATCCAATCTGACTGGTGTCCTTAACAGAAGAGATTAGGACACACAAGGACACACCAGAATTCACGCACATGTGGAGAGACCATGCGAGGACACAATGAGAAGGTGGCTGGCCATCTGCAAGCCAAGGAGAGAGGCCTCAGGAGAAACCAAACCTGCTGACGCCTTGACCTTGGACTTCTTGCCTCTAGAACTGTGAGAAATTTCTGTTGTTTAAGCCACTCTGTCTGCGGTATTTTGTTATGGCAGCCCTAGCAGACTAATACAGGTGGGATCAAGACATGGGGAGATGGGCAGAAGGGCATTCCAACTAGAAGGAACAGCATGCTGCCAGTCACAAGAGTCAATGTGGAGTACATTCTGATTGGCTAGAGCCAGGGGAGGCAAGTTTCAGGGACTGGAATTCAACAGAGCTGGGTCCCACAGGGGTCAGAAAGGACAAGGGCTGTGAAGAGGCTCCAGGATTTGACATAAGGTGCTCCTTGGTGCCCGCGCAAGTTGGGCAGTATAGATGGGAGGTGGGGAAGGTAGTAAGAAGGGGAAAGAGTGGGTGGTGAGGTGGGGTGGGACTTGAGGGGAGGAGCTGCTTTTAGGACGTTTGGGTGTGAAGGGAAGGAGACAAAGGAGGGCAGTGAGAGAGGGCGGTGAGCTCAGGAGTTGGTCCTTTCTGGTAGATCATGGAGAAGAAGACAGGAAGGAGAGAGATTAAAGATACAAGAAAACCCAGGTATGATGGATAGTGGTGGGGGCTGGGGATCTCAGAGGACATGGGGGTGGGCTGGGGGCATCAGGAGAGGAGTTTGCTCTGAAAAGGAGAACAGTCATTTCCTGCAGTGGGAGGGAAGGAGAAGGATGGATGAAGAGAAAATTTGTTCTGTAAATTTAATTTTGTTTTTTAATGATGTAAATATTTTACATGGTTCCATTTACATCCTACATGACCCTACATTTCCTCTCCTATGTGTTTCCCCAGTAGAAAGGTGTACACATGTGCATCAAAAGTATGTACTAAATTGTTTATTATTATTATTATTTTAACTCTTTCTTTTTGCTGGGAAAGATTCACCCTGAGCTAACATCTGTTGCTAATCGTCCTCTTTTTTTTTTCCTCCCCAAAGCCCCAGTATATAGTTGTATATTCTAGTTGTAAGTCCTTCCATGTGAGCCACTGCCACAGCATGGCTACTGACAGATCAGTGGTATGGTTCTGCAACCAGGAACCGAACCTAGGCCGCCAAAGCAGAGCATGCTGAACTTTAACCACTAGGCCATCAGGGCTGGCTCTGTACTAAATTGTTTATAGCAGAATTATTTCTAATAGCCCCAAACTAGAAACTCTCCTAATCTGTCACCAGGTGAACAGATAAATTGTGGTATATTTCCTGAGGGCTGCTATATAGCAGCAGTTCTCAAAGTGTGAGCCAGGGAACTCAGGGGCGTCCTCAAGACCCTTTCAGAGGGTCTGTGAGGTCAAGGCTATTTTGATAACAAGACGAAGAAGTGATGTGCTTCTTTCACTCTCATCCTCTCCTGAGTGTGTGGTAGTTTTCAAGAGCCTCCATGACTTGTAATGACATCATGTCTCTGACAGAGAATAGAATGTGGGCTTGTGTGTTCTTGGGTTTTAAATATTTCTCAGTTTTCATTTCTAATACAGTAAATATCGATAGATATAATCCACACAAAAAAGGCCCTTTGAGGTCCTCAATTTTTTTTTTATTTTATTACTATTTTTTTTTTTTGGTGAGGAAGATCAGCCCTGAGCTAACATCTGCCAATCCTCCTCTTTTTTTTTTTTTTTTTTGCTGAGGAAGACTGGCCCCGGGCTAACATCCGTGCGCATCTTCCTCCACCCTACATGGGATGCCGCCACAGCATGGCCTGACAAGCGGTGCGTTGGTGTGCGCCCGGGATCCAAACCGGCGAACTCCAGGCCGCTGCAGCAGAGTGCGCGCACTTAACCGCCTGCGCCACTGGGCCGGCCCCGAGGTCCTCAATTTTTAAGTGTAAAGGGGTCCTAAGACAAAAACATTTGCAAACTGCCCCTATATGGCAATGAGAATGATCAAGCTATGCCTACCCACAACGGCATGGATGATGGATCTCACAAACAGAACATGGAGCCAAGGAAGCCAGACACAACAGCATACATACTGTATGATTCTGTTTACGTAAAGACGAAACACAGGCAAAACTCATCCATGCCATTAGAAGTCGGGAGAGTGGTTATCCTTGCAGGGAGGGGGTGCTGGTCATATTCTGTTTCTTCCTCTGGGTGCTGGTTCTCTGGGTGTGTTCACCTTGTGAAAATTCATCTAGCTGTACTCTTTGGGTTTGTACACTTTTCTATATGGGTGTTATATTTCAGTATAAAGTTACAAACACATTTATATGGGGGCTGGCCCTGTGGCCTAGTGGTTAAGTTCAGCACAGTCCACTTCAGTGGCCTGGGTTTGGTTCCCAGGCCTGGACCTACACCACTCATCGGCAGCCATGCTGTGGTGGTGACCCACATACAAAAGAGAGGAAGATTAGCACAGATGTTAGCTCAGGGTGAATCTTCCTCAAGCAAAAATACACCAAAAGAACCCACATTTATATGGACCTGCAGACAAAACTATAAATGAAACATTTACAGAGGTCTAGCTGCCATCCCAGTCTTCTCTCCCTCCCCCTTAGGCTATTTTTTCCCCATCAATAATTTCTATTAGTTGCTGGTCTCTCCTTCCACGATTTCTTTTGGAAAATATCTGAATATTTTCATTTTCATTTGATTTCAAATATTCATATATTTGAATAATCCCCACCTCTGCCTTCTACGGCAAAGTAGCATGTTGTATGCAGGAGAGAGAGCGTGTGAGGTGGAGAGAAGGAGAACCGGAGTGGTGCACAGGAGATGGCTTGGAGTGCAGGAAATTAGGAGGCTCAGCGGCTTCTGCAGAGAATAAAGGGATTTGGAGCAAGAGGACAGGACTTGGAATACACACATGCATTCACTCGAGAAGGTGAATGCCCTTACCAGGTGCAATAGTGGGACAGATTGTTCTGTCACTTGCAGCACAGTGTGGCCCATGTGCTGAGAGGGGTGCACGGGATGCTGGGAGAGCACAGAGGAACCCCTCCCCCAGCCTGGGCAGTAGCAGGTGGGGAAGAAGTCTTCAGAGGAGGGGCTGCTTGAGGGAAATCCTGATGGAAGAATAGGAGGGGGCAGAGAAGGGGAGTGAGGGATGGCTTTCCAGGAAGAGGGAACTATATTTGCAAAGGTGTAGAGGCCGAGAGCAGGTATCCAGGGCCTCCCAGGGTAGGCCCAGGAGTCTGAGCTTTATCCTGGAGGCCAACAATGTGCAACTTCTTTAGCAGAATAATTCTTTGGTTTAAAAGCCATTTTATATAGAAACCCACCCTTGACTCCTCTTTCTCTTACATCCCTATTGCAATCTAATAGCAAATTCTGTCAGTTCTCGCTTCAATATATATCTAGAATCCAAATGTTCCTCACTGCCCCCACCCTGGCTCAAGACACCACCATCTCTCACTGAGATCATAACAAAAGCCTCCTAACTCTTCTCCTTTCTTCTTCTTCTTCTTCTTTTTTTTTTGGTGAGGAAGATTGTCCCTGAGCTAACATCTGTGCCAATCTTCCTCTAATTTTGTATGTGGGACGCCACCACAGCATGGCTTGAAGAGTGGTGTGTAGGTCCACACCAGGGACCTGAACCTGTGAACCCCGGCCACCAAAGCAGAGCACAGAAACCTAACCACTACGCCACCGGGCCAACCCCCTCTTCTCCCTTCTTCTGACCCTGCCCCCTAAGGTCTTTTCTCAGCACAGCAGCAGAGTGATCCTGTTAAAACCTGTCAGATCATGTCACTCATCTGCTTGCATGGCTCTAATGGCTCATCATCTCACTCTTGCAAAAATCCAAGTTCTTACAACAGCCTACAAGGGGCAAACACCATCAGATCTTTCCACCCCCACCTCTCTGCCCTCACTTCCTCCTGCTCTCACCTTCAGTTCACTCCAGTTTTCTCCATAGAACTTATCTGACTAACATATTTTATTTCTTCTTGTCTGACTCCCTCCCTCTAGTGGAAATTCCATGAGGAGTTCGGTGTTTTGTTCACTGCTGAGCCTAGAAGAGTGCCTCGCACATAGTAGCTCAGGGAATATTTGATGAATGAATGAAGGAACTCTAATACAGCCAAGAGACAGAAGAACAGGCTCCTCAGGGCAGTCTACATCTTCATTGTTTGGCCGGGATACTTGTTTGAGGAACCCCTGAAGTGCTTCTGCCCAGCCAAGATGGTTTCTTAGAGAAGAGTTTCAACATGACTGCTGAAAGCAAATGGGAGCCATTGAAAGCTTTTGAAGGGTAAGTGGCAATTATGTAAGTATTTTAGAAAGATCCCTTGGGCAGCTATGTGGAGAGCAGACGAGGGTAGAGGCAAGAGTGGAAACAAGGAGATCGACGGGAGGCTGTTTCCCAATGCGCTGATGCTCTTTTTTGTTGCAGTTGCCTACCAGTCCCTGAGTCTCTCCCTCTCATTCCTTGCAGATTTAGCTCCTGGCTCACTGTCACTCTCTCAAACACTACTCCTGTCATGGTGAGTTCGATATTCATGCAGACACCTCCAGACCCTTGGCCTCCTCTCCTTCAGCCATCTTGTCTTCCACCACACTGCAGCCACTTGCTGCCTTGCGATTCCTTCGACCTTGGCATTAGCCCATTCTCTGCTCTCCTTGCAGCTCCCTTCCCCTAGTGCCCCAACACTGACTCCATTTCCACCCCACTGGGACCGGCAATCCATTGAACCTGTCCTTTTTCGTTTTTCTCTCCACCACCCCTCCTTGTCTCCTGTTCCATCCTTACTTAGCTTAAATTATATCAACCACTCACTTGTACACACCTTGCCCTTTCTTGTACTTGCTGGGAGAAACCATAACCCTGGTAAATCCAGTTCTCCACCTGCTCAACAACCTGCACCTGTGGCAGCTGAAGGTAACCGACTAGCCTCACTTCAAGTTCATTACCACTGACTTCAAATGGGCCCTCAATTCTGCCCCACAACCCTACATTTCTTTAGTCCAGCCACCCTCCCATTCTCCTAGAGCACTGCTTCTCAAGCTTTAATGTGCACACGAGTCACCTGTGGATCTTACTAGACTACAGATTCTGATTTTGCATTTCTGATAATTTTCCAGGTGATGTGCATGCTGCTGGACTGTGGACCTGCACTTTCAGTAGCAAAGTCCTAGACCAGGGGTTGGCAAACTTCTTCTGATAGTAAATATTTTAGGCTTTGCAGGTGACATAGTGTCTGTTGCAACTACTCAACTCTGCCATTGCAGCTAGACAATAAATGAATGGGTGTGGCGGGGTTCCAATAAAATTTTAGTTACAGAGACTGAAATTTGAGTTTCATAGAATTTTCATGTGTCACAAAATATTATTATTCTTTTGATTTTTTCAGCCATTTAAAAATACAAAAACTGGGGCTGGCCTGGTGGCATAGTGGTTAAGTTTGGCACGCTCCGCTTCAGCGGCCTGGGTTCTCGTGTTCGGATCCTGGGTGCGGACCTACGCTACTTATAAGCCATGCTGTGGCAGCGACTCACATGCAAAACAGAGGAAGATTGGCCACTGATGTTTGCTCAGGGTGAATCTTCCTCTGCAAAAAAATAAATTAATTAAATAAATAAATAAAAATACAAAAACTGTTCTTAGTTGGCAGGCTGTACATAAATAGGCAGTGGCCCGGTTTGGTCCACAGTTTGCCAACCCTTGGCCTAGACAACTGTTTCAAACCTCTCCTCTCCTCAGACCTGCAACCCTTCCACCGCTGTTCTCACTCGCAGTTGATGACCTCGCTTCCTAGTCACTGAGAAAATTTAAGCAATCACAGGAGAACGTCCATGACTCACCTACCACATCCCAGCTACCAGCACCTGCACTTGAATCCTCTGCCTTTGTCCTGTTCCTACAGATGAAGTGTTGTGCTATGGCCAGCCTTTCTGCTTGCTTGTGCCCACAATCCTAACCCCTGTCACCTAGTCAAGAACCTTCTCTGGCAATTCCTCCCTTTCTGTCCCTGCTTTTCACTGGATTGTTCCCATCAACATACAAATAAATAGGCTCTTTCTCCCAACTCCCTTTCCACTACTGCTCCTTTCCTCCTTCCTTTTACAACAAAACTGTGAAAGATTTGTCTGTATTTACTGGGTCCAATTTCTCTCCTCTCATTCTTTTTTTTGAGATATAATTCACATACCATACAAGTCACCATTTTTTGTTTTGTTTTTTGTTTGTTTTTAAATATAAGCTAAAACCATTTAAAAAGTTACCGTGTTAAAACATACAATTCAGTAGTGTTGAGCGTGTTCACAAGGTTGTGCAACCATCACCGCTGTCTAATTCCAGAACACTTTCATTACCCCAGAAAGAAACCTCTACTCATTAGCAGTCACTCTCAATTCTCCTTCTCCCCCAGCCTTAGGCAAACACTAATATACTTTCTGTTTTTATGGATTTGCGTAGTCTGGACATTTCATATATATGGAGTCATACATTATATGCCCTTTTGTGTCTGGTTTCTTTCACATAGCATAATGTTTTCGGGGTTCTTTCATATTGTAGCATGTGTCAGTACTTCACTCCTTTTTATGGCTGAATAATATTCTACTGTATGGATGTATTATTTTGTTTATCCATTTATCAGTCGATGGACACTAGGGTTGCTTCCACTTTTGGGCTATAGTGAATAATAAAGACTGGCATACAATTATCTGTGTGAGTACCTGTTTTCAGTTATTTGGGGCATATACCTAGGAGTGGAATTGCTTGGTCATATGGTAACTCTATGTTTAACATTTTGAGTAACAGCTGGACCATTTTCCACAGTGCCTGCACCATTTTACATTCCCTCCAGCAGTGTTATGAGGGTTCCAATTTTTCCATATCCTCACTAATGCTTGTCGTTTTCCATTAAAAAAAATTATAGCCATCCTAGTGGGTGCCCATCCTCTCAGGAACCCACTCCAATCAGGTTTTCATCTAGCACTCAAACTGAAAGTGTTCTTAATATCACCAGTGACCTCTGTGTTGCTAAATCCTAATTTATCTGATCTGATCTTAGTTGACCTATCCATAGCATTTGTCTTAGTTGACTTCTCTTTGGAATACTTTCTTCACTTGGCTTCCAAGACAGTACCTTGCTTGGTTTTCTTCCTGTCTTTCTGATGGCTGCTTCAGAATCTCTTTTTCTGGTTCTTCTTTTTCTGAAATCTTTTTGCACATGGAGGGTTTTTTTTTTTAATGTCTTTGCACATGGAGGGTCTTTTTTTTTTTTTTGAGGAAGATTGGCCCTATGCTAACACCTGTTGCCAATCTTCCTCTTTTTGCTTTTTTTCTCCCCAAAGCCTCAGTTCATAGTTATGTATCATAGTTGTAAAGTTGTAGCTCTTCTATGTGGGATGCCACCTCAGCATGGCTTGATGAGCGGTAAGTAGGTCTGCGCCCAGGATCGGAACTGGCGTATCCCGGGCTGCCGAAGCAGAACTCGCGAACTTAACCGCTATGCCACCGGGCCAGCCCCTTTCTGGTTCTTCTTTATCTCATGTCTAAATGCTTGAGCACCCCAGACCTCAGTTGTTGAATCTCTTTTCTTCAATCTGTCCTCACTCCATGGTGATCTCAATCTCATGGCTTTACATGTCCAAAACTGAGCTCCTGATAGCCCCCTTCAGCACCAAACACACACACACAGACACACACACACACACACACACACACACACCCCTGCTTCTCTTGCAGTTTTCCCCATCTCAATAACTCCATCCTTCCAGTTGCTTAAATAATCTTTGACTCTTCTCTCTCACACCCCACATCTGGTCAGTCAGCAAATTCTGTTGGCTCTACCTACAAAATATGTTCAGAATTTGATCACTTTTTTTTTTGTTTTGGTGAGGAATATCAGCCCTGTGCTAACATCTGCCAATCCTTTTTTTTTTTTTCTGAGGAAGACTGGCCCTGGGCTAACATCCGTGCCCATCTTCCTCCACTTTATATGGGACGCCGCCACAGCACGGCTTGCCTAGCGGTGCGTGGGTGCGGACCCGGGATCCGAACCGGTGAACCCCGGGCCGCCGCAGCAGAGCATGCGCACTTAACCGCTTGCGCCACTGGGCTGGCCCCAGAATTTGATCACTTCTACCTCCACTGCTACCACCGTAGTCCAAGCCAGCACCAGTTCTCTACTAGATTATTGCAGTAACTTAACTTCCCTCCATCCTTCTATCCTTTCCCTCTTTTGGTCTGTTTTCAACACAGCAGCCAGAGAGATCCTTTTATTTTTAAATATTAAGTCAGATTATATCACACTTCTGCTCAAAACTTTGCAATGGTTCCTATGTCATTTGGAATAAAAGCCCAAGTCCTAACTATGACCTATAGGATCTTGCCCCTGTTAGCTCTCTGACTTTATTCCATCCCTTTCAACTACTCTCCCTCTAGCTCACTCTATTCCAGCCATAATGGCCTTTGCCATTCCTGAAGAGGCCAGGCCCACTCCCACCCCAGGGCCTTTTCACGTACTTTTTCCTTTGGAGGATTCTTCCCCCAGATATCCATAGAGCTAGCTCCCTCATTTCCTTCTCAAGTCTTTCTTTATTCAGAAGTCGCCTTCTGACTGAGGCCTTTCAGCCCCACCCATAAACATCACATTCCCTTCCCCTGATCTATTTTTTCTCCTAAGCACCTGTCACTTTTTTTTTTTGTGAGGAAGATCAGCCCTGAGCTAACATCCATGCCAATCCTCCTCTTTTTGCTGAGGAAGACTGGCCCTGAGCTAACAAACATCCGTACCCATCTTCCTCCACTTTATGTGGGATGCCGCCACAGCATGGCCTGACAAGCGGTGTGTCAGTGCGCACCCAGGATCCGAATCCAGGCCACCAGCAGCGGAGCACACGCACTTAACCACTATGCCATGGGGCCAGCCCCTGTCACTTTCTAACAATACACATTTTGTTTATTTTATTTACTTTCTCTGTCCACTTGAATGTGAAAGCTCCACAAAGGCAAGAATTTTGTCTGTTTTGTTCCCTGATGTAATTCCAAAATCTAGAAGATGAATGGCACACGGTATGTACTCAAAAAATAGTGAATGAATAAATGAATGAATGAACAATGGCAGCCTGAACTAGGGCAGTGAAGGGGTGGAGAGGAGGGTGAGGAATTGGATGGACAAGCAGAATACAATGATTGATTGGCTGTGGGGAGTGAGGATGGAGTCAAATATTACCCTCAGTGCTGAGTGGATAGGTGGTTAATGTCCTCTGTGAAACAGGAGGGTGGGAGAAACCTGAGTTCAGTTTGGGACCAGAGATACCTGTGGGTGATTCGGGTGGAGATGTCCAGTAGGCAGCTGGATCTGAGATCAGGGGAGTGGTCAGGGCTGGGGATACAGAGGATAGGCTTAAAGTCTGCAAATATAGATAATATATCATGTATTACAATAGCAATGAACAATTATGTATTTACCCATGTCTCCATAGTTGGAGCTTAATAAATATTTGGTGAATGAATAAATGAGCTCTGTGCGATTTCTAAGGATGGCTAATCCTATGTATGTAGCTGTCAATATATACTTTCCAAGAATTCACCAAGTGTGAACCTATCTTTACTACCTTGCCTTCCTTAATGATATAAATAGTCATAATAAATTTTTGTGGTACAGAGGACAGCCCCAGAGACAGTAAAGAAAATTCTGGGCAGCCCCCATAAAAACTTATACAGACATATATACCAACAAAAGGCTACAAAACTCCTCTAATTAACCTCTATCCTATGGAATTAGTTTAAAGATAACGTCTCTGAATACCATAGAAAGTTACATCTTAATTTATAATCAGTTAAATTACTGCCTCAGCACTACCTTGTGTATTCCTGCTGGGCCAAGGGGGTGCCGTTCCTGATTCTGAAGGCATGAAAGCCTCACAAATGCGCAAACCATCCTGTTTTCACTGCCCTCGAGATAACTATTCCCACTGCCCTCACCCCTTGAATTTTCCCTGCCTACCTCCCTTAGCCTCACTTCTCTCTACCGGAGCAGCGAACTCCCCATGGCTGTAAGCATCATGAGGGCAGGGACCGTAGTCTCAGTGCCAACACATAGGAGGTGCTCAATGAATGTTTAGATATCCAGTGTCTGAGCTGTCTCCATCCTGTCTTTATTTCCAAAGAAATCAAACCTGTGTCTGAGGAAAAGTAGGTACAAATGGAATGAATGCTTACTTTTCTATTGTTTA